GGGCAGGGTCTGGTCAAGGTTCTGTCTGCTGTGAGCCCCCAGATCTGTGGCAGGGTCTGGTCAAGATTGAGTCTGCTGTGAACCCCAAGATCTGTGGCAGGGTCTAGTCAAGGTTCTGTCTGCTGTGAGCCCCCCACATCTATGGCATGGTCTGGTCAAGGTTCTGTCTGCTGTGGGTCCCCAGATTTGGGGCAGGGTCTGGTCATGGTAGGAGTCTGCTGTGAGCCCTCAGATCTGTGGCAGGGTCTGGAGGAGTAAAAGTCCTGAAAGTGATGCCTCCAAATGTCCAGAGCACAAAAAGTTACTCAAAAATACTTGGCCTGGTCAGTCACTTAGCGCAGATCTCTTGGGCTAATGTGTCACTTTAGGCAAGTCATTAGCTTCTTTTCTGAACATCATTGTCACTTCTAAAGTGTAGGTAAATATGGTGGTGGTTGGCCCCAATGGGATTTAAATAATCAAAATTAAGAACTCTTACATAGGGTTTGTTATGTGCTACAGACTGATTTCAGAGCCCTGGCAGTCCATTCTACATATAAGAAAAACCAGGAACAGAGAAATGCCACCAGGCCGAAACACGAAAGTGGTAGCCTGGCATTGGTGTGGGCTCCAGGGTTCCTGCTACTGGAAGCCGCAGGACCACTGATCTGGTGTAGTGTGATCTCACCCCCACTCTATACCTGAAGTAATCCATGAACCAGGTGAAAACATCCCCCACTGTGGACCACATATCATGGCCAGCATGACAATAACAATAAAAGAAGGGGATGCTTGCAGAAGGACCCAGCTGTATGCATGAAGTTGTTGGGAGCACAATAGGAAGGGGACTTTGGCCATGCTTCTGCCCACAGTGGTCTTGTCCTCCCACAGTTCAGGACCAAGAGGAAAAGCCCTCAGAGATGGAGGATGTATCCCAAGAGATGGAGGATGGTGCTGCTTGTGCGGTGCCCTGGCCACGCCGGCCTTCTCTCCTACCTGCATCCTCATCCTCAGATCTCCACCGAGGGGTCAGTGAAGCCCTTCTTCCCCTCATTCACCAGCACTGGCTTCTCTGTCCGTGTGTGCCAGACCAGGATCTGCATGTCCAGAGACACAAAATAAGTGATACGGATCCCCAGCTCATTCTGTCAGTGCCTGGCTCCCTCCCACACCCTGCAAGTATTTCTTCTGCCCTCTCTCCTTCCACCATTGCCCCATCAAGATTTTTTAACTGTTCTTTATCTCTATCTACCCCCTCATTCTAGAACTACAGAAAAGAGACACATCTCAAGATTTCCCAATATGCATGTGTGTATGCATATATGTATTCGTGTATGCACACATATGCAGGCATCTGTATGCATGTCTATGTACATATTTGAATATGTACATGTATGCATATGTGCATCTGCCTTAGTATATGCATGTGCATACTCAACCAGGGTCATGAAACACAGACGTCCCCATGGAGAGCCAGTGATCTTTGGAATTTCCCAATAGAAACCCTTCCCCATCTCTCTGCTTATCAGTGTTAGCAGCTTATAATAAGCTCCCATCCTGGATGGGGACTGAAGACAAAGCTATTTTGAGGCCCCTCTTTCTCTTGGATCTCCAGGTCTGGGGGTGCATGGCAGTGCTTGCATTACTAGCCATCAGGTCTGAAGAGGGTCTTACTTACCTTGGTGCAGTTCGCTGCCTTGGGCTCCAGGTCATTGAGGGTGACCAGTTCTCGAAGGAGGCTGCTTTCCTGGTAGCCTCCCTTCACACCACGGAGCTTAAAGTAGGCCTGACTTCGCTGCAAGATGAGCCGCAGATTGACGGCAAATCCAGCCATGTCTATCGCAAATGGCCGGTGGGGGTCGAACACTGTCTTCCAGCCAACCACCTTCCCTGCCCCATTCACCCTTGGGGCCTCATACCGAAGGCCACCAACGAAGGCCACAGGCCACACGGACACCCTCCTTGTGCTGCGCATCTACAAGGTGAGAACCTGAGTCAGGATAGGGGTCTAGGATGGAAATGCTACCCTTTCCCAGAGGAGATAGATCACTTAATGAGTGTGTGTGGGTCCCTCCCAGTCCCTCTGCGGACCTGCTGCCCCTGATCTCTTGGGGAATCCCTAGAGGACTCTCACCTAGGTATTCAAGACATTGTTCAGCTAAGATGTTGGTCAACTTCTCAATGTGGCCTGATGGCAAAAATCTCTTAATCTTGGCATTGTAAAATCTGAAACGAGCCTCCCTCCCCCAAACTTAACAGGCATGCTCAAAATGTCCACCCAAGAGGTTTCTGGTGACCATGTTAAATGATCCCATAGAAAGGTCTCTTTCAGGGAACAAATC